TGAAATAAATTGGACAAGCCTGATGGGAGTTTGCCGGCCATGGAGGAACTGTTTCCGCATGTATTGCAGAGGGAAGTGATGTAATGTGATGTACCAGCCGAGGCGAGGTTACTGAGGCGTAGTGACACTTGCGTAAAAAATTTCGGAAGTAGTGGCATAGAACAACTGAAGTCGTACGTGTCCAGTGATGAATATTCACATCTCATAGTGTCTTATGATCAATGGAGCAAAAATGAATCAAACCCCAATCATCGACGGCCAGCAGATTGACTTAAGGGTTGTTAGGATGCAAACTACTGTTTTGGTAAATCGTGAAACGACGTCCTATTAATCCACATATCTTCAACGGTGTCGACAACTCTCAATAACATCTCATTTTCACATCACTACCCGATTCGCTGACAACCCTCCATTGTCACTATTCGCACTTTTATTCAGTTTCTTCATCTCTTCTCGTCAGAAAAGCCAACAAGAGATTATGACGTTGTAGATGGGTAGAAGACGACGTCTTTCTCTCAATGGCCATTTTTCTGCTAAGATAACGACAGAAAGAGTTTTTCACTCTTTCTAAAGTAGATCATGGCAACTCATTCGTGATCTCGCTTTCAACGATCAACTCAATTTTCTTTATAGAATGACTATGGAGCATCTGATATTTTTTTTTGTAAAAAGACGACCTACTTTACTGGAATAGACGTCAAACCTTAGCAATAGGTCGATGAAAAGTCAGCCACAAATACTTTTTAGAAGGATTTTGAATTTGATATCAACGACGGAAATGTCTGAAAACGATCATCATGATCTTTTAATAGACGAAACACTAAAGATTCTGGCGGGAACTTCTCAAAATTTCACGGTTTCAGCCGGTAACGACATAAAATAATTGTACTACTGAGGTGGAAATTTGAATATGAGAGGAGTCTAGCATTGCTTAACCCACATGGGATGCGGCATCAAGAATTCCATGAAGTGACTGAATGCGTATCAGACACATCGTATCTACAAATAACTCGCAGTGGGCCATGAACGAACTATGTTGGTGTTGATGCATCTCGTGCAAGTCTGCCAGCAGTGTGCCGTTTGTAGAGGAATTGAAAGATGATTAAGCCCAGGAGACTTAACTGAATCGACGCCCAGGTGTGTATTGCAGCACTTCACATCCCAGAGCCCTACATGCAAAAATTTAGCAACATGGAATTTTTCACGAACAAAGGCTTTTTGGATACGGTATCCTACAAAAAGTGGAAGAATTTTATGGCGTTGCTGGTGCTTAGGAAAAGTCATCAAAACAATACGAAGGTGCTCATTCAGCTTTCTTCGTCTTTCATGAAAACATAATAAAACGGCCGATGATTCTGTGGGGCTATATTTTCGATTTTTATGTGCGAAGACGAAGAACTCTGTAACAAAGACTATGTGGTGCAGAGCTCTCACTAAGCATTGGGATAGAATGAGAGCTTCACATTTATCGTCTTTAACGCTGCTCGCTTGGTAGCAGGATTTTCATAAAGAGAATTCCTCGGTTTTTCTGTACGTGGTCGAGAGAAGTTTTTAATAAGATTCAGGTCAGGTAATCGTTAGGTAGACAGCTTTTGAAGGAGCTCGTGATCAATCACTGAGGGATATTTGATCACTCCTTGGTTTAGACGAAATTTAAACCAAAATTGAAGAAAAGTGGGGATTGAATTGTTGTTTTCGCAACACTTCTTTTCAATACGTGTTAGACCACAGCCCCAACAAGTGTTCTGCACACAATCACCAATCACTAAAT